GGTGTCTCGTCTAGGAGAGGACCTCGTGGCCTTCAACATGGGAGACGAAAAGGAAGGGGGAAATGGAAAGAGTGCGCCAAGGACTCGGAGGTGTGGTACAACAAGGTTGAGGACGGGGCGGCATGGTTCACGAGGAAATGGCACAGGCAGGAGGCGGAAGCGTCCGCGAAGCGCCAGCGCGCGAGGGAAGCAGAAGCAGAGAGTCTGGCCATCTCAGGACCGAAGAGAAAGAGAGCCGGGGAAGCGGTGGTGGGGGGGAAGAAACGGCAACCGGGCACTGCTGTAGAAGCGAGTAGGGCAGCCGAGGCAGCNTTTTTTCATGACCTCCCTGCCTACTCTGCTGTGTTGGGTACCTTGATCTCGCTTTGCTGTTGCCTTTGTTTTTGTACGTCTGGCTGTCTGCCCATCTGCCGCCTCTTTGCCCTGCCTGCTCCGTTACTCCCATGCCCTGGTGCGCAGTGCCTGGTGCTGGTACGTTACCCTTTGACTTTTTCATTCGGCGGGTGGGTGTGGAAAGCGTCCTCCTTTATTTTTCTGTTATTTTTGTTTTGTTTTATTTTGATCGGTGTCCGAGGGCTCTTTTCTCGAACGGTCGGTGCGATACCTCTTCTTTTCTTTCTATCATTTTGTTTTCTTTTTCCGAGTGGTTTGTACCATATATATATATATATTTTTTTTTTTCTCGCGGCGTCGTATGTGCCGGGTTTTGAGACCACGGGCTCCCCATTTTTTGTTGACTATAGAGCTAATGTGAGAAACAACAACAACAACAACAACAACAACCACGATTTATCGTGTAAGTTCGACCGATGTCGGATTCTGAGGATGCAGGAATGGCAGCAGCTGCGGAGAGGGCAGCAGCCGCGGAGAGGGCGATAGAGGAATTGAGGAAGAAAGTCCAGCTAGCGATGGACAAGATCGCTGCGTTAGAGAGTGCTGGGAAGGCAGCAGGTGGTCAAGCTGGGTGGCCAGCTGGAGGAGGTGTACATGCCGGGGGTGGGCCCGGTGGATCAGGGAGACTATTTTTTGACAAGGACGGAAAGATCGATCCAAATCAATTTTTTTCAGAGAGGGGAAGAAGCCCCATGTGTGGTACGGTGGGCACGAGCAGCAGGTGACGAGAGGAGTGCAGCAGCAGAGCAGCCGCCACAACCACGTCCTTGCAGGGCACAGCCGGTACGAGCATCAGCAGCAACTGGTACCCAATGAACGCCCACGCCCTCCCGCTGCTCCCCCTCCCGAGCAGTAGCACCAATGCAGCTGCTGTGGAGAGAAAGGTCATGTACATCAGTATTGCAAGTTCAACCTCGCCCGCGGACCGTTTCAGCAGCGGAGGAACGGTGCCTTTGGCGGCGGGTCTGTGTTCCAGCAGCAGCAGCAGCAACAACAGCAGAAGCCAGGCGTCGTGAATGGCAGCACTGGCGGATTTCAGCAGCATCCGCGGCAACAACAGCTGGCGGCCGGCTCCACCCGTGGTGTGGTTGGACAGGTGAGTGGTGGGGTGTTTGCTGGCGAGAAGGTGGGGGGGGGCTGCTGCCGGTTCGTTTGTGGCGTGTTTGCTGGTAAAAGCCCCCGCCAATGTATCTTCTCCCAACGCAGTTACGCACCCCGCCACTTATTCTCCCCCGTGACCCACGACATAACGTGTAGCACCTGCAGTAGGGCGGGAACGCGCAGAACTGGATCTCATGGAGGCCGGGTACAGTAGAAGTGTAGCGATTCCCGGACCATACCGCGTTGTTGTAGTTTCGGCATCCGCGGCATCGCAACAACCCAAGCAGCACCGTCGCAGCAGCAGCAGCAGCAGCAGCAGCAGCAGCCAGCAGCCTCACTTGTGCCATCACCCACAGCAAACCATGCCGATGAGATTCGTCCTGCTGCCTCATGTTCAACGGTTGGGATTTGTGGAACGGCATCCGCACCGGCGGTCGCAACGGCGGCTTCGGCCAGAGCTGCGGCGGCAGGAGTAACGCCGCATGGAGCGACAACGGCAGTGGCTGCGACGGAAACGGCGGCGGTGGGGACAGCAGTAGCAGCGGCGTCCCCGGTTGCCACGTTGGCGCCGGGCAGTCAAGATACGTGCGCCGACAGCGGCGGCCTGACCTGCAGCAGCGGTGGAGACGACGGCATCTACGGTTTCGAGAGGGGCGCGTCGTACCCTATTGACCCTGGAGGATTATTTGCGTTAGAGGTGCGTGAGGAGGGAGATCGCAACAGCGGTGGCAAGGAGGACCGGAGCAGTGATGGCCGCAGCAGCAGCAGCGGCGACGGTGGAGATGGCGCGGCCTGGCATGGAGCGTCAACGCATCCCTTTGACCGAGGGAAGCGGTCCCGGTGGAGGAGAGCGACCAGGGGGCCCGTGCTGGGAGTGGACCTACCTCCTGTTCGACCGAGGTGTAGATGCATGGGCACATGCCGGGGGGTAATGCTTCGCACCAAGCGGCACCACCGGGAGCGGCGGCGGCGGCGGCGGCACGGACGCCGTGGTCAGAGCCCCGTCGCCGACAGCACCATCATCGGGAGCGGCGGCGGCGCGGACGGCTTTGGCCGAGCCCCTTCGCCGACAACACCATGATCAGGAGCGGCGGCAGCAGGACGCGCCGCGACATGAGTGGTGGCCTCGGCCAGAGCTCCGGGGGCGGTGGCAACGGCGACGGCGGTGACGATAGTAGCGGCCGCAGCAGCAGCAGCGGTGGCGGCGGCGGCGGCGGCTTTCGCAGCAGCGACGGCGGGACCGGCGCCAACGGCAACGGCAACAGTTTGAGCGGGGATGAGAGGACGCGCGAGCGGGGGGAGAGTTTACCCTTGTCTGTTTCCCCCCCGCCCGCCCCTCCCGTGCCTCCCACAGCGCCACACCTGCAGCGAGCCCCGGCGACGTACGCGCAAGCAAATGCGGTGCGGGCGGGGCGCCAATTGGGGAAAAGCAGCGAAGCGGAAGACAAGTACATGGCTCCGGTGGACACCCTCGAGTCGACCGAGCAGGGCGAGGAAACGGTGGCAACGACCACCTCACCGTATCTACGCCAAATTGGAGACCATGTGAAATGTTCCCAACTTTGGTTATTTTTCGTGCAGGTATTGGTATGTGAACTTCACGTTGTTTTCTTCTTTATGGTTTCTGTTTTTTGTTATTTTGTTCCATGTCGACCGCATCCCTCCCGTTGCGCAGAAGACGAGAAATTTATCCAGGAGTCGCCTCCGAGAGACAATGCGTTGATGTGAACGGCATTCTTGTTCGTGCTTCACTTTTTTTCTTTTCTGGGCTTTGACTTGTTGTATTTTGGCCCATTTTTGTACACCATGCGAAATTCACTGATAATTGTTGAACTCAGCTGTTTTTACTGATGTCAAGAACCATGGGGGGGGGGGTGGCTTGTTTTACAACGTCGTTGCCAAGCGACGAAAACCCAACCCCGATGGCAAAACACCGGGGGGGGAGGGGTGGCAAACACCGGGAGGGAACCATGGAGGGGGGGAATTTTCACGATGTTTCTAGCCGCAGTGCCAGTAGAGCAGAGTGCTTTCGTCGAGTTCTGTTCAAGTTGGATTTGTTTCGTCATGATTTTCTTGGCGTTTTCTTCGTTCTGCTGTGTTTTGCGTCAAGAATCAGGGGGGGAGGAAATATTTGTCATGATTCCAGACGCAACACCAGCGAATGCGATGTGTTTTTATATGTATGCAGGGCATGTCTCAGCTGGGGGGCTGTTTCGTACTCTGTGATGTTTTGAGATCCTCTGTTGGTTGGAAAGGGAGGGAAGAAAGCGCAGGCAGATATATCTGTATGTTTCGGGGAAATGTTCCAGCTGGGGGGCTGTTTCGTACTCTGTGATGTTTTGAGATCCTCTGTTGGTTGGAAAGGGAGGGAAGAAAGCGCAGGCAGATATATCTGTATGTTTCGGGGAAATGTTCCAGCTGGGGGGCTGTTACGTATTGAAATTGGTATTGATATTTGATATTGTTGCCTTGTGCCAAAACCAGTGAGATACGGGTGGCACATAATTTACATGTTTCGGGAGATGTTACAGCAGGGGGGCTGTTTGCATGATTATTTGCTAATATTTCTATCGTTTCTTGGACAACAGCTGAGGCACCAATAGCATGTACGCGCTGTTTAGGATTTGGTCCTTGGACGCATATTGGAGGAAGGGTTTTACATGTTTTGACGAGTAACGGTTGGGGCCTTTGTGCTTTCCCAATGCTTGTTTTAATTGGTCAAGTAGTTGAAACTTTGTGTTGTTTGAAGATGTTGTGTCAACTCTTTTGAAGTTTTTTTTCCAGATTTATTTGTCCGTCACCGTTCTGACGCTTTTCTGATGTAGCGCAGATGTTTGTTGGGTACTCTTCTGAGGATGATTCTTTTGTTTTGGCGGTTTGAGAATACGTTGGGTTCAGGATAAAACCAATGATATGGGGATGGAGTGTAGACGCATCGTAGAACGCGTTTTCGTTTGAATATTGCGTCTTGTTTGAGAGTAGATGTGACAGATTTGCGTAGAATAGGGTAAGATGTTATCATGAACGGAGAAGAATGGGCTTTTCCAACACGGAGATGTAGCATGGATCAAAGCATTTGTTGGATTTCAGCGTTTACAAGAGGACATCAACGCAGTAGTATTTTCGCAAGCTTACGAACGCACGTAGGATACCATGACGATTGTCATTGGTTTATTTCAAATTTAAGAGGAGATATTTTTACGATGTAAGTGACAGTAGAAATAGGTCCTACATATGTTGTTGTACTTCGTATTGGTTTAATATTCATGTAGAGTATGAGACATTAAGTGAAAGTTTTCTGAGGTACATCTGCAATTGTCAGAAGGCAAAAAAAAAAAAGCTGATGGAGACGCTTTGCATTAAATGCGTAACCAGTTTTGTATAGGATGTTTCTCGAGTGGTTATTTGTGTTTATTGTGTTGGTTTGAAGACTATCCACCTTGGACTTCCAGATCGTATATTGTATCAAGCAGGGGGGCTGTTTGGGGTACTTGGATACAAGATCCTATCTGCAGAGAACATGTGTGCGGGGGGTATACTGTTGGGGGTCCAACTGCGGGCCCCCTCGTGAGAGCCCGCGCATATGTTCACTGAAACAGGACCTGTACTGACTTCGGTGCGTGCTGGAAGAGCACGTGTGTGTTAATCAAGAAATATACATCATCTGCATCGGTTCTCTGGGTTAACATTGTCCCCAGACAGACATTATTCCGTGGGTGGGCACGGCAACCTCCGTGGGTGGTCACGGGGGTACACAAACACTGAGGCCATTTGTTTCGGTTCTTTTATTGGATATCTTTTTCAGTTTTTCACCTTATAGAAAAGACAATTGGCCAAACCGTGTCCTTTTTATTAGCGTAGCCATCCTCTCTTTTTTCAGGAACCCTATCTTTTTTCAGCAAGTTTTGGATAGAATTGGGATGCAACATCAAAATATAAAGACCTTAAAGCAAGTGGCCTGATGTGCTAACTAAAATGCGACAGGGGTTATCGAAACTACTGAGGAACTGCTGTAGTAGCGAAATTCCTTTTTCCAGAATGAAAATTTTCACACAGCAGACGAACCTCGTTTCACACCTCGTTTCACTCCCAACAGCAGCACCGAGGGTGGATGTTTCGCTTGTTCGCATCGGCCCCAGCGTGCGCCGTCTCTGCCCTCTCGCGCACGCGGGACCGGGTTGGTCACACTTTGAAGGGTGCTTGTGCACCCGCCGCGGTTTTTGCCGTCTGGACCTTACAGTGATAGGCAATTCATTGGTTCTTGAATGAGCATCTGCCCCACACCATAGGAGTAGGTGTGGTAAATAGTACTATGTGTACCCTTGCGCACATTGCCATTGGGCGTGCTTTTGGGATGGGCTGGCCTCTTTGTCTCTCTGCTGGTTCTCTACGTCTATGATTCCTCCGAGGCGAGAAACTCCGGCGATCTTTCGGGGCACAAGAGTTATCGGATAAACGGAACTAAACCGGACCTGCAGTTACCCAAGTCAACTTCTCGCCAAGGGAGACAACTTGCTCATTGGCCAACCCAAACGCATGGTACGAAACTTGTGGTCCGTATGAAACAATCGTGTTGGCGAATTTTGAGAGTGTTTGAGGAAACGGACTTACTGTCAAGATACGCTGCACTTCGCTGTTTGTTTTTGTCCCGTTTCGACGTGTCCCTACACCCCGCCTTACTTTTGGCACCCGTTTGCTCCCAACCAGCATCGTGGGTGTCCTTTCCCCCGAGGTTGATCGGTTTGTCCTAAGGTAGGTTTGTTTTAGATTGGTGAACAATGCAACTCCCGCCCCCAATTTTTTCCAATGCCGATAGGACATCTCGATCGTTCTCCTCAGCAGCAGGATATTGCCATGCGTGCATTGAGGGTGGACACCCACGATCGCCCATTACATCGGTTTGCTCGGTACGACGATTGCGGCAACAAAACCTGATAGATACACTTGTAGCAATGCCAAGTGGTTGGTACGGGATGTCCCCATGGAATGAGGCAGAGCGGAATACCGGGTGACATGTGTGGTGCGTAGAATGGATTCCAGGGATGTACAAGGTACCCCTGTTGTATACGGCGTCACCCCCTCAACGGGGCTTGTGTATGTTTTTGTTATTAGCATCGACCGCGCTAACCGGCTGACTAATGAAAAGTCAGTCTCAGAGCGGTTGAAAACACAAAACACTTTTACCTGCCATGAACTGGGACGCCGTGAGGGGGCAGCATGGGGGAGGCTAAACTATCCTTCGGACCAAAGACAGAAACAGCAGCAACAGAAAAAAACTGTGCGCGTCTACCACGGCGAGTTTAGGAGTACTTTCACCATTATCCTCCTTGTTTTCACTACCATCATTCTGATCCTCATTTTGACAAGAAGATTCTCTGGGCAGTTCTTCCCTAGCCTTACGTTTTTTCTTTTGGGGGTCATCTGGCTCAAACCCTTTGCCTTCTTCCACTCCTCCATGTTTTCCTCCCCCATCGCCGTCTTCGTCCTCCTTTCTTCCTTTTCCCTTTCCTTCGTCTCCGTCACTTCCAAAATAATTACCCTCATTACTATCGTTGTCGCAGAGATCCCAACCGATTGGCCCTGGTGGAAGTTGATCGATCAGTAGCCCATGACTTTTGAACACATCGCGAATTCGCATCGACAGAAAACGAGCTAGCTCGAAGGTAAACCGTCTCCGAATCCTATAAGTATGAAAAGCTTTCAGGCGGACTTACGCTCTTGCGTCGTCAAAATTCCCAAGGCGAAAAGCTTCGTGCGCCAGGTGGTTGGCGATAGCAACGATGAGTCGATTGGTGCCTTTGCCAAGACCACCATTCGATGAAAAAGCAGCAGTAAGGAGGGTAGATCTAGACGGGTTGAAAGTTGCCGCATAGTGATTTGCCTTACATGCTGCTCGATCTTCGAGGGCGGATCCTGGCTTTTACATCGACTTGTCGATGCTTCGACCTGCGGGCGGGTTGACGATTGTTACGTCTATAAGAATGGACTTGGTGCAGAGTTCCTCTTCCTTCTCTCCTGCGTGTAGTCCTGGTGGGATCACCAAATCCCTCCTGTATAGCCCCTTTCCCCTACCAGTGCCTGTGGTAAAAGGGGAAGAATCCTCAACAGCGATGGGCAAATGGAACTCACGCAGTGTCTTGAGGATTACGCAAACCATCCTGTTATGGAGGAAGGTTAAGGCGCCGGTCTTGGTGCAGACGAGGGAGTGGGCTCGGCTCAAGCGGTCTTTGCATGGTAATAATGTACCAGCATCACAAATATTGCCTGTGTCGCAGTCTGCTCGATCGTGACTCCCCAGTACACGAGCTTGTTGGCGTGAGTATGTGGATGCAACTATTCACAACAAGTTTTTCTACTCGGCGCGAGCCCGCCGAGTTGCCGATACCTTATTCAACACACGTCTTGCGACAAGCTACCCCCAGTTCGGATTATCCTAAATGCTAGCGTGATATCATACGGGATCCCGAGGTGGGGCTAGCTTCAAAAGGGTTTGGTCAGAGAACAGGGACACGAAAGTCATGGAGCAGCAGCTGGATGAGCTCCAGCTCGCGGACGAGCAGCGAAACGTAATCGACGCCCTCATCGAGGAGCAGGTCAAGAAGAAAGTAGAAGAAGCAACAACAGCAGAGCGCTCCGCAGCACAGAGCGAGGGCACGCCTTCCGAAGGAGGCGACATCCGGCTGGAGAGGTCGGCTGGCTAGGAGTCAAGCCCGCGACCCGAACACCAGCCCCGATCGCCGGCGGACGTCAGCCTCATCCACACCCTCGCGCGGGCCTTGCAGAGGGTCAAGATTGAACCGGAGGATGAATACAGGGAAGTCCCAACCCCTAAAGAAACAATACGTATTAGCGCAGGTATCACTATCCATGCATTCACCGGGAAGTTTAGCCCCGAGGACGATGTACAGACGGCGGTAATGGTTTTTACCAGTCAATTCCGATCTTTGTTGGAGCAGGAGCGTTGCCTTGGGGCAATAGAATCGAAGAACACGATTCGTGTAGGAAAGACGGATGCGGATATCTCAGCATTGAAGGTGGAGCATGGGACAGTAGCTGTAGATGGGGCGGACAAGGCTTGGCAGCTGATAACATCCAAGATGCAAGTACCGACAATAGTCCCTGCAATCCTAGCTAGTGGCTGCCCCACTGAATCGTGGGATCAATTTCTCAACTTTTACCGAGTGCACGCAGAAACGGATGAGTTGGAGTTGCAGGGGCAGTGGTACTCGTTGAAGCAGGATGTAGGGGAGGAGCCCCGGCGCTATCTCACAAGAACATCAGTACTTCGCCAAAAACTAGAAGCGTACGGTTGAGTGCAATCCGATCATGATGCTATCGTGCACTATGTACGCAACCTTCTGCCCGATTTTCATGGGCAGAGGAGCGTGTTGTTGGCGCATTCAGAGGTCAAGACGGAATTGGTAGAGAAGGTGATTCTGACTACCTGGGCGGAGACGGAGGCCGCTGGGAAGAGGGCGTCGGAGAGCGTGGGGGCGTATGCCCTCGTCACTGGCGAGGACCACCGTGGTGGCGGGGGCGGGAACATGGGGGATAGGGGGAAGACGAGAGGACAACGGAGGACGGCAGCGCGGCAACAGCAGCAACACCCGCAGCAGCCACAGCAGCAGCATCAGCCGTACTTCAAGCAGCAGCAACAGGTATACCCGCCGCCGTACCCGCCTGAGATAAAATATTGTGACCTTCACAACTCCTCGTCCCAAAGCAACGAGGAATGTGGCTTGCAGCGGGGTTGGGGAGGTCCCTCGGGCGGCCAAGGTGTGAGCTATGGCGGAAGGCACGGGCCCCAGCATGGGTGCCGGGGCTTTTCTGGAGGAGGACGTCATCAGCAGCAGCCGGCAGGAGGAAGATTCGGGGGGCGTGGCGCCGCTTCCGGTGGGAGGGGCAGGGGCCCTTTTCACCAGGGACCGCCGGGCAGCAACCTCCCCGCCTACCCGTACCTCAGCGGGGCTACGACTACAGCGCCTACCCCCCCTACATGTACCGCCCGCAGGGAAATGAACCTCCCATCCACCCGAATGACCCTCGCAAGCGGTGTGAGAAGTGCGGTGAACTCGGCCACAACTATCTGTTCTGTCCTTTGCGTGTTGATGTCGGAAGGCCAGCTGGCATGCCGGCCGCCAACGCGCCGCCCAGGCCCCCACCGCCCCGGCCGCCGGCGGGTGGCTGTAGCCAGCGGCCGCCGTGGGCCCACTCGTACGGGCAGGCCAACACCACGCAGCAGTACGGCGGAGAAGGGGTAGAGCTAGGAGCAGCAGGAGCGACGGTGGCGACGACGGCAGCACCATCTACGGGGGGGCATGCAGTGACGGACGTGACCGGTGTTTATCAACAACCGGTGACGCACGCGAGCGGTGTGTACGAATACCCACCCCAACAGCAGCAGCCGGAGTACCTATCCCCCCCCTTCCAACAGCAGCAGCCAGTCCCCGCCCCTTACGCCTCTCCTGCGCCTTTGACCGGAGCACCTTCGTCGGCAGGGGGGACTTTGCATGCATGTGTTGTAAGCGACATGTAAAGTGAGTGCCAGAGTGAGCTTTCGAGTGGATTCGTGGGGGGTGAGGGGTATGCCTTGATGAACTCTATACCGGTTGTGAGGGAGGAGCGTGTAGGAGTTGAAGAATGCCTTGCAGGCTCTGGTGGAACTAACCACACCACCGGAGACCCCACGAACATGAACGATGTGATCATCGCGCCCCTTGGTAGCGAGAGAGTGCAGATCGGTGATGGCAGGACGTTGCGAGTGCTTGGAATCGGGTGTTTAAACGTGAGGTTCCATCTTGAAGGTAGAGACTTTTGCGTGAAGCTTACCCGAGTACGTCATGTAGAAGGAACGGGGTTCAATCTTTTCTCCCTCCACCAAGCACAGGGATTGCAACGTATTGCCTTGGACGACGTAGGCACCCATCTTTTCCATGGCCAATTGACCTTTCCCCGTGGCGAGAGGGGTTCGTCGCTTTGGGCCACTCGCTTGCCGCCCAACAATGAAACGCCCACCGCTGTGCCTGTGATGCCTTTTCGCCCGGTACCCCCTCCCCGCGCTGCTGGTGTTCGTTTACATGCGAATGATGGTAGAGTGATGCCAGAGACCCCACCGGTGTTTCCCCCCCCTCCGGGTGTAGCATACGTTCCTTCTGCAGTGTCAGGTGTCCCGCCCGCTGAAAGCAGCGTAGTGCCTCCGGTGATGTCTGTACCTCATACCGCTCCCAGGAGTGTTGTTCAACCCCCCGTGTCGAACTTTCCGCCCGCTGCTACCGGCGTAGTACCTTCCACGGTGTATGGCTTCCCGCCCGCTGAAAACAGTGCAGTGTCCTCTACTGTGCCCGGTTTCCCACCCGCTGCAAACAGCGTAGTGTCCTCAATTGTGTCCGGTCTCCCGCCAGCTGCGAGCAGCGTCGTTCCTCCGGCAATGTATGCCCCCCCCCCCGCTGACAGGAGTGTGGTGTTTCCTTCCGCTCCTCAAGTGCCGCATGGTATGGAGTTGGTGGCTGTTCCCGGGCTGCCCTCGCCCGACATCTCCATTTTTCAGGAGAGTAATGATGATGACGACCGTGGATGCATTCCGCACACAGAGCAGGAAGATGACGAGTGGACTGTGTACCTATTGGAAGAAAGAGAGGTATCAGATGACCCCTACGAGTTTTTAGACTTGATGTTTGAGTCCGGATTTGCAAATGTCTTCGATGATGTTGCGTTCACCGTCCGCGTCAAGGCCACGGGCAAGCGCCCGTTTTCGGTGGGCAAACCCACCAAGATTATTGACGTTAACCTTCTGCACGTTATGTGCTCCCACGTCAATGAGTTTCTTTTGCATGAGCTTGCGAAGCAGCACGGTCTCCGACTGACCGGTGTCCTGCACCCTTGTGGTGGATGTCTGCAGGCGAAGGGGAAGAAGGCGGGCGTGCCTTACCAATCGGGCACGCGCGCGGAGCGGCCGCACGATCGTTGGCATATCGATCTGTGTGGGCCGATGACAGCCTCGCTGGGGGGGGTCGTTTTTCATGATCATGTTCGTGGACAGCTTCTCGCGGTGGATGAAGCTGTACGGGATGAGGCGCAAGTCGGACACCCTCGCCTTCGTCAAGAAGTTCCTCGCCGACGTGAGTGGCACCGGTGCCCCTCGCTCTTTCCGGATGGACAACGGGGGGGAGTTCGTCAGGCGCGACTTCATCGCCTTCTGCGACAACGCCGGCATCCGCCGTACGTACACGGCGCCGGGCACCCCGCAGCACAATGGTCCGGCGGAGAGTGCGATCTAGCGCGTGAACAAGGCCGGCCACGCCACTCGTCTCGAGGCACNGGACAACGGGGGGGAGTTCATCGGACGCGACTTCATCGCCTTCTGTGACAACGCCGGCATCCGCCGTACGTACACGGCGCCGGGCACCCCGCAGCACAATGGTCCGGCGGAGAGTGCGATCTAGCGCGTGAACAAGGCCGGCCACGCCGCTCGTCTCGAGGCACCCCGCCTGTTCCCCAAGATCGACTTCACCCGCGTCCCCGGCTTCGGGCGCGATGGCGAGCGACTCTGGCTAGAATCGTGTCACTGGGCTGCCGGCGGCTTCAACCGTTCTCCGACCAAGGCAAACGTCGGGTACAAGTCGCCGCACGAGCTCTTCACCGGTCGCCCGCCCACGCTCCAGATCGCCCTGTTTTTGCAGCCGGGGTACATGCGTGTGATGCGCGCCCGGAAGATGGATTCCCAGGCAGTGCTGTGCTGCTACCTCAACAACGGCGACAACCATCACGAGTCGGCGGTCAAGGTCCTCAAGTTCGCGACGGGGCGCGTGTGCATGACGAACAACGTCGTGTGGGTCTCCGACCGCGTGCCGTTGCTGACCCCGCCGCTGGAGATGCCGGCGCCGGCGGACGATGGGGGGGATTCGAATGTCGCCGCGCACCGGTTCTAATTGAGTACATTTCACCGCCTCTTTTACCCCCCTCACCGTTCGCCCGATATCCCACTTGACCCGCTGCCATATCCCCACAGGCGCCGCCGGAAACTTCCACACCACCATCGCTGGCGGCGCCGCCTACCGCAGCCACACCATCGCCCCCGGTCACCGCGCCGCCTGCAACGCCGTTCGCCGCATCGCCACCGGTCACCGCGCTGCCTGAAACGCCGCTCGCCCCCGCGCCACCGTTCACCACCACCGCGCCACCTGCAACGCCCCTCGCCGCCGCGCCACCGTTCACCACCACCGCGCCGCCTGCAACGCCGTTCGGCGTCGTGCCACCGCCTCCCGCCGTCGCGCCACCCGGTGCCGCATCATCGACCAACGTGCNCCTGCAACGCCGCTCGCCGCCGCGCCACTGTTCACCACCACCGCGCCGCCTGCACCGCCGTTCGCCGCCGCGACACCGTTCACCACTGCCGCCTCGCCTCCGGCCTCACCGTTCACCACCGCCGCTGCACCGTCAGTAATACCGTCTCCCGCCGCCGTGCCGCCCGGTGCCGCGCCATCGACCAACATGCCGCCGCTCACTACGAGGACCATCCGTGAACTGGACGTGGGGCGCGGGGACATGAGGGTTTCTGGGCGCACGAGGGAAGCCGCTACGGACCAAGGGGGCGGGGCGGGCGTCGTCAATACCGCCCCTCTCTGCCAGGGCCAATCGAGAGCTGGACTTGGGACGAGAGACGCGGGTGTCAGGGAGATTGAGGGGTCGGCGGGTGCGTTTCCAGGATGGGGGGGCCGAGCGGTCGACGTCACCTGGCGGGAGCGGCGACGCTCCCGCCCACCGCTTCGGGCTTGTATCCCTGCAGGACAAGGCAACGCTCCTGTCGACTCTCACCACTCACAGCGTCGTCGATAGGGGGAGAAAGGCGATCCCGAGTTCAGCCGGAGGACGTGAAGGAGCGGAACCGGGGGGGCGAGAGCGGGGGGGCACGAAGACAGAAGGACTGCGTGAAGAAGTCCCATTTGCGTGCGCCACCTTGCTTGCCTCCCGCGAGGAAATTGGTCGCACGATGAGGGATTGAAATCCCCCGGAAGTGGCACCGGACTTGCCACATTGCTATGCAAACGACTTGCGCGTGCCCAAAACGTATAGGGAAGCTGTGTCCTCTGAGTATGCGGACTTGCGGATAGACTGTAGAGGGGGAGTTCAGAGGTCTAATGGAGGCTGGTACCTTTGAGGAAGTAATTTGGCAACCAGAGAGTGTTATCAAGGCGAAGTGGATGTTTAATTGGAAGTCTGATGAGTATGGATGGCCGACTAGTGTGAAATCACGGCAAGTAGCGAGAGGAGATGTGCAGCGAGTACATGTGGAGAGACGTATGCACCGACTGTAGCAGTTTCCAGCGTTCGCTTGTTGGCGGCGATGGCGTGTGAGCAAAATCTTTCTCTTTGTCATTTTGACATCAAGCAAGCATTTATCCAGTCGGATTTGGATGAGGATGTTTTCATGCGTCTGCCAGAGGGGTGTGGTAGATTGTCGGGTATGATAGTGAAGTTGAACAAGAGTCTGTATGGCCTTAAGCAGGCATCAAGGCAATGACATTCACACTGGGCGAGGTGTTTGATTTGTTTGGGTTTTATTCAGTGTCTGGCGGATATGTGTGTGTTTCGGTTGATCGAGGAGGGAAGAGTGGTAGTGACTCTGGTAGTACATGTGGATGACATATTTTCGATTGGAGAGGAGGAGAGGTGTGACCAATTTGGTAGGGACCTCAACACCATGGTACCGGTGAAGAATCTTGGTGACTTGAGGTGGTACTCTGGATGTTTTTATGAGAGGGATTGGGATGCAGGGACTTTGAAGATCTCGCAGCAGACGTAGGCTGAAGAGTTGGGGATGGAGTTTGGGGTAGGGTACGGGAAGGAAACTCCTCTTTCTGTCGGGTTGAAGCTTTCAGAGTTTGACCAGGATGAGGAAATGGTATCATGGCCTTTTCGTGAGCTGACAGGATCATTGATATGGCTGGCAACGNGATCTCGCAGCAGACGTAGGCTGAAGAGTTGGGGATGGAGTTTGGGGTAGGGTACGGGAAGGAAACTCCTCTTTCTGTCGGGTTGAAGCTTTCAGAGTTTGACCAGGATGAGGAAATGGTATCATGGCCTTTTCGTGAGCTGACAGGATCATTGATATGGCTGGCAACGTAAACGAGGCCAGATATCGCGAATGCAGTAAGAGCGGTAGCACGGTACTGTGCTTCTCCCAACCATCTAATTGTTTTTCGTGCATGGCGACCACCATTTATCTTTCCCCCGGAAAACTACAGCCGAGGCCAGAAGTGGTGGCCCGAAGGGGGCAGCCGCGGGGCCTGTGGAAGGAGCTCGCGCGCATTGACGCCGACAATCGTGGACATGATTTCTGGGACAGCAGGGAAGCTGGGTTGGGGATGCTTTTGAGGTTCGTTAAGCCGCTCATTATGGACGTTGGTGGTGACCTAAACGCTGTTCTTGAACCGTACGACGAGCGGCGTCTGCTCGAGCAGCACGGAGCGGTCGTTTTTTATCTCTTCATTCGGCTGGCCTCGGAGGAATCGTGGGGACAATGGATATTGTTGTTGTTGGAGGTTTCCGCGTCCGGCCGCAGCGCGATTGATTGCGTTCCGCGGGCTATTTCCTCTCTGCCCAGGGCTCTGGGGGGATCAGCTGTTGTTGTTGTTGTTGTTGTTGACTTCACATTAAACCGTATGCGGGGGGATCAGTATAACATAACAAATCTCTTGCGTCGCGTCGTGATAGTGGGACACAACACGGAGGTGCTGTTAATGCTCCTAGAGAATGATGTAGCCAGCCCTCCCGCTCCCGTCGGGGTTTGTCCGTGGCCTCGTGGAGGGCGCCGTGATAGGGGGGAGCCTTGAGGTCATGTCGACTCTCCATGCGGTTGACAGCGTTCTCTCACAGGTGCGAGAAGTGGACGACACAGGATACTCTAGCCTTCCTATTCTTTCTTTTGCCGTATCATTGGGTGACCGGAGCATGGTGGTGGCCCTGATCAAGGCGGGCACTCCCCTCGAGTTCCAATCTAGACACAGCAGAGCCCCTTTGGCCATTGTGGTTGCAAGCGACCGTGACAAGGCCCTGGGGATCGTCCACGACCTTCTGGCTGCCGGGGCCGACGTGAACAACGCAGGCCACAATAATCAAACGAGGATGCCGATGTGAACTCTCCGCTGTGCTTGGCCGCTGCCAAGAAGAAGGAAAGGATGATGGACCTTCTTCTGGCTGCCGGAGCCGATCATGGAAACGAGCGGGTGGATATCCTCCCGCTCCACGCTGCGGCCTAGCACCACTCGTGCGGAGCACTGAAGCGCCTAATTTTAGCTGGCGCGAGTGGCACCAGTTGGATTCAAGAGGTCGCTCTGCGTTGCACGTGGCCTGTCGGCACAACTGTGAGGGTGCCGTCAAGCTATTGCTGCAGTACGACGCCCGCGTGACGTTGCTTTGCGATGACAGTCTTTCGCCGTTCGACGTGGTCGCCGTTGCAGTTCTCAAAAGGCGACAGTTAAGCCAATGCTGGAGATTGAGGCGACGGCCGTCTACTTAAACGCCAACGAGACTCTGTTGCTGACCGTATTCTAGAGATGCTGAGGAGGGCCAGTGCGTAGGAACGCCGTGCTTGGCTCATCCTCACGCGGCACCGTATCGCACGCGATCCCCTTGCCGCGGGGTCATCCTCACGGCCGCCATCGTTCGTAGAACCAGCATTCGGAGACCAAACCGCAACCTCGTGCAACACCGAGACGAAGGAGGCGCCAACGACGGAGGTTGCGAGCTTCCCGTACATGTAGACATCGATTTGGGAGGTGCTTCCCCGAGGGGTATGGCGCGATCTGAGGCGTTTGAAGGTCGAACAGGCCATTCCTTCACTCTGTAAACACCAACGGTGGACAGCAGTAGCCCCAACGGTGGAGGAAAGGTCCAGGTCTGCGAGAGTTTGCAGTGTGCAGTGGAATGGCTCGTACAGTGTCCGGACGAGGATGGCATCTTTCGCGCAACCTTGGCGTATCGTTGACAACCACGTCACGCCTGCCGCTGCCTGTTTGTTGAGGTAGGTACATTTTCGATGTGTGCAGTACATCCCATAGGGGAAGAAGGACGGGATCTTGCACTATGTAGGAAACAGGATCTGTGGGCACGCAGCAACCACCGCCGGTATGAAACTCTTGCCGTGGGCGACGTCGGACATCTAGTCCGGTCTGTGGCAGCCCCCGATATCCTCCAAGTGGTGTGAATAATTGCCCTGACCACCAAAATGGAGAATGACCTTGCCCATCGGTGGAACGTCTTCGTGTTTTCGGACGACTATTTCCAAACGCACTGTTTCGGTGGAAAATTTATTCGGCTATGTTGTCAATTGCTTTGATGTTGTCGGTACCATCTGTCTTGAACATCAAGTTCTGAACGTCGAGGGCGGCCTTGTCTTTGACTCCAAATAACCATATGTGGCAAGGAGGTTATATGTATTGTTTGGGGTCTTGACAATCCGTTGACAATTTGCCGTTTCGAGCGGCTTCAGTCGAGAAGATTACCTTTAGGGGTAGAGTCAATTCTCATGAAACGCAGCCTGTCTGTTTATTCCAAGATTGTTCTTGCGAAATCTTGCGCGCTCATCGTTGTATCTCATTTCAATTTTGAATGAGTGTCGATCGTATCGTAGACGAGGCTAACGCGCCTTTTCCGTATGCATGTCGCCTACCTGGACGCTGCATCGCACCTCCCGCGATCTACCTGTTGCCGCTTTGGCTGTAAATGATGATGCTTGCGACAAGGGGTGATGCCTGGTTGTTGAATTATCACTCTTGTATCTGTGGTCAATGATTTGGCGGATGAATCCCCAGACTTACCTGTCACAGATGTGCATGGGCGCTGTCGTGGTGGAGGTTGATGCGCGCGTGCTTGGTTCTACATACGCAGGACGTGCTGCGTTTGATCGATACGTACAAGCTTTTTTTTCTCGTGCATGTTCGATTCGGATTTTCGGGGCTGAGGGCTACTTCATTGTATTTTTTTCTAGCAATGAACGAATTCATTTGTGTAGCCATCGCTAGCAATCGCCTGGCTGGTCGGAATTTTATCAATTCGAACCAGAAAAGGTCATTTGGAGATGCGGTCATCCTACTGGGTCTGAGGTTCTCGCTTGTCGTCATTTGGCCTTCACTAGAGTCGGGGCTCGCTCCAATAAGCAGTGAAACAATCAACAATGCAGCCTGTGCAATCTGGAAGGAAGGCCCATGGTGAAGGAACGCACTTGGTACCATATCTTGTGGAACAGAAATGTTTGCTGCGCCTTGCTTTGGGGTAGACTGAGACAAAGGGGTGGGATCCAGGCACTTGAAATAGGTTACAATACATATCTCGGCGAGTGCAGAGGTACAAGCTCGCATTGCGCGGGCGTCAAGACGCCGAAAACAGGCGAACAAGATCGACCTCGGACCAGTCAACGCCAATGATATGGGGATGGAGTGTAGACGNGCATGGATCAAAGCATTTGTTGGATTTCAGCTTTTACAAGCGGACATCAACGCAGTAGTATTTTAGCAAGCTTACGAACGCATATAGGATACCATCAGGATTGTCATTGGTAAGTTGAAGAGGAGATACTTATACGATGTAAATGACAGTAGAAATAGGTCCTACATATGTTGTTGTACTTCCTATTGGTTGAATATTCATGTAGATTATGAGACATTAGGTGAAAGTTTTCTGAGGTACATCTGCAATTGTCGGAAGGCAAAAATAAATAAATAAATATTGTATCTCCTGCTTCATCCTTCAATCGGGAGTTCTCCCGCACTCATCTATCGGTATATACCCGCTGTACCGTTGATACGTTTTAGATTTAAACCCATCAAACAAACCCTTGTAAAAATGTGTAGTGTCGACGTGCCGTTTACCCAAGGGACCGTCTGCAGGCGGTTGAACCGCTGTGCAGTTCCAGACAGAAGTCTGTGTGATGTTCAGACCGCATTCTGTGCAGACTAAAGTCTGCTAAGGCAGTGACCGAAGTCGAGGTTGTTGCGAATGCCGTTTGTGGGACTTGCGCTTCTTTTCAGTCGTGTTCACTTTCCAGCTTACTTGAACAGGTGAGATGTTGAGGAGTAGTTGGGCAGCGAGCCTGGTGGGGCTCGCGACACCTCGTGATCTCGCTACAACTACAATCCTCTGAAACAATTCATTCGCTACATGTTACGTTCTTCCTAACGCCACACCCCATCTACGTTTCATTGCAAGCAAAGTCATACAGCTGCATGTATTCTAACACAGATCCTACAGAAGTAATGCGCTACCTTTCAACATGCCCTCGCGATGGATGTAACGTTTTGTGTGCTGCAACAACCTCATCGTTGTTCAAAGTCTACTGCGAAAGTCCTGCAGGTCTAGCACCTCCACCATGTGTACTCCTGCAATGTACACGCCCCCTTCACGTATCGCTTGTGCTTCAACACCTGCCTCTCAGCTGCCATCCTTTTCTTCAAGTTGTCCCTGTACCTGTTATAGTACTTCATATTCTTTCCCTGCCTCACGATAGCAAAATAACAAAGGCCGAAATCTTGAAAGAACTGAAGGAAGGTCATAGGTCGGATATGGACTGCGTGTTGGATGGCCATGGAAAATGGAAAAAAGAGAGTAGTCTAGATGTCTTCATTCAAACGATAGAAGAAAAGGCCAGTGAGACATAGTTACGAGTTGTGAGCACGTTGTGGAGGGCAACCTCGCAAAGCTGCAAGACGCAGTAATCAATGTGGTGCAAAACAGCTCATCATTTGAGGAAAACATGACGAGGCGTATCACAAAGATGATGAGGGACAATGGTACTACATGGTAGTGAATAAGAGATATACACACCCGGAGGCCAAGGTTTCTTGATGATGATAGTGCGTACTTTCCGGCAGGGATCCGCCTATTTCGATTCAGCGCTCTCGTGGTCGCCGGCATGGTTTGAAGCACAGCAAAGACAGGTGGTGATGTGCTGACAAGCCTCGGAGCGCAAGACAATAGGAACTGTCCAAGAATTTACAGCGCCGTTCACGTCGCAGCAAAATAGAATCAGGGAACGAGCTGGTAGGACCCTGATGAACATCATCGTAAGGTGTTTGATGGATGGAGGAAAACTACTCGAGTTCCTATGGGGCGAGCTGCGCTGTACAGCGGTGTATATCACGAATCGTCTACCGCACGTACATCTGGGCAACGAGACACCATTCCGGATCTTTGGAAAGCAAGCTTCGCTGCATAATCTGCGGGTCATCGGGGCATCAGCGTTCGTCCACGTGGACAACTACAAATTTTAGCCTGCGAAGCGAGCTTGGCCGGGAATACTGGTTGGTCGGTGAGGACGAGAAGGAGGACGCAGTTGAACTAGTCAGAAAGTTGTTTATTTCCGAGGAAAAAAATTTAACGGCATTAGCCAGTCATTCGCCAATACGAGAATTGGAAACTTGGTAATCGCTGCAGATGGAGATATACATGAAACCTTTCGTCACATATCATCATTCGTTGTACCCTCATCTGATGTAAAGTATTTAAGCTACACGTGGCGAATACCACGATTCCTATGCTCGTGTTGGCGGATGACTGACAAATGCCGTTACATTTGTTTCCTCGAAATCACAATGTTCAGACTAGCTCAACTGCCTCCTTCTTCTCGCCCTCATCGAATGATATCGTGAACTAACTCTGTCCGTTAATACTCGTTCAACAAGATTCAGGGCAGGCTTTGACCCATCTGCAAGAAGTTGTTCTTCATCGCTGGAGATCAAGCGTGGGTCCAGTCTGCGACATTTCCACTTCCGTCCATGTACAAAAATGTAATTAGTAGTTGGTGGTCTCGTCCAGGTACTTCTTTGTCTTGATAATCGATCGTACAGGCACAGTTTTTGGTCTTGATACCTGCTTGTCCAGGTAGTTCTTTGACTTGATAGCTGCTCTTATCCGGGTTGTCTAGGTGAGGAATGTTGTTCTTGTCCTGACGTTTTGGTTTGGTTGTTGTTCTTGTCCGGGTTGTCCTGGTCAGTGGTGCCTCGAGTCTCCGTTCCACCGATCCCTCTCTGATGTTGTCCGTGTACATCTGGAACCGTAATATATCTTCGAATTCCTCCGCACCAAAAAAAGTATGAGATCCTCCATGTTCTTGAACCATCGTTCTCAGATAAACGAATTGAACACGATCCAGATGCTTCGTCAGTACATGGGTCCCACGTGTGTCAGGAATTTTGACACGAGCACGAAATTTTGACACGAGACCAGAATTTTGACACGA